TTTTTTTTTTTTTTTTTTTTTTTTTTTTTTTTTTTTTTTTTTTTTTTTTTTTTTTTTTTTGCAGGGATATGGAATGACAGAGGCGGGACCTGTACTAACGATGGGTTTAGCATTTGCAAAGGAGCCATTTCCGATGAAACCAGGAGCCTGCGGTACCGTCGTGAGAAATGCCGAGATAAAGATCGTCGATACCGAAAACGGCGGCTCGTTGCCCCGAAACACGCCGGGAGAGATCTGCATCAAAGGCGATCAAATCATGAAAGGCTATCTCAACAATCCGGAGGCAACGGCTGCCACAATCGACAACGAAGGCTGGTTGCACACCGGCGATATCGGCTTGATCGACGACGATGACGAACTCTTCATCGTCGATCGGTTGAAGGAACTGATTAAGTACAAGGGATTCCAAGTTGCGCCGGCGGAACTCGAAGCTCTATTGCTCACTCATCCGGTCATCTCCGATGCCGCCGTCGTTCCGTAAGAATCAATTGATTCGATTAGATTTCCAATTCCGATTTGTTTATATATTATCATTAATTTTGTACGTGTGGTGAATTGCAGAATGAAAGATGAACAAGCTGGAGAAGTTCCAGTTGCGTTCGTAGTGAAATTGAAGAACTCCAAAGTCACAGAGGATGAAATTAAACAATTTATATCAAAACAGGCATGTAATCTTATTTTGTTCTCTTAATTCTCATTTTTATTCCATTTTAAAATTTAAAAATATTTAATTTATAAATTCACTTTATTTGCTAGTTAAACAATTATGGAAAATGAAACGGTATTTTAAAGATTAAAATAGAAAAGGACTAAAAAGATATATTTACAAATTTTATGAATAAAAAAAAATATATATTTTTTTAATTTTAGATATTAGGAAATTGATTTCGTATATTTCTGAAAATTTTATGACAACGGTGCAGGTGGTTTTCTACAAGAGAATAAACCGGGTTTTTTTCATAGGCGCAATTCCGAAATCGCCCTCCGGCAAGATCTTGAGGAAGGAGTTGAGGGCAAAGTTGGCAGCTGATTTTCCAATCCCTAATTAATTTCCTTTTTCTTTTTATTATTATTTATTATTATTATTATTTTTTTTTTTGCAATTTCACTCACTACTAAATGCCAATGCAAGTCTCTTATTTTTCCTCTCTTGTTATTATTACCTTTAAATATATCTCTATATATTTTTTATATGGAAACTTCAAATCTTTTCATATGTATATATATAGATAATGTTTTTCCTTTTTTTAAAATTGCAATTATGAATAATCATCCAAATTAGCTCACACATCCGTGTATCAATTACCATACTCACATAAATGTACTGCCCTTCATTGATGGGTCGATGTGTACACATGGAGTAAGACAAATATTGGTGGAAATTACAGACATTACTGTAGTGACATACTCTATACTATTTCTTTTTTTTAGAGAAAATTTATGATTCATTATGCAAAATCGAAAGGTAGAAGATTTATCATGTAATTTATTCCATCAAGCCATCAATCGAGCAATGGCGAATACATCATGACACGGTCGAGAAATGAGAAACAAGCTCAAATATTTCTCATGAATGCATAATGTTAATTTTGAGGTTCAAATCTCTTTTAAAGAGTATGAATGAGGATGGTAAGATATGTTACAACAACAGGGCGTAAATGATACAAACACTATAAATGCACAACATTTCTCCAACTCTAATTTATCCTGCTTTTGGTTTTTACTTCATCATATGGCTCAAAAACTCGCCTCCTCTGTGCTTGGTCGCCTCAAGAAATATCGTAAACTATTTGATATAACCTGTAAAAACGACGTAAATCATCAATTGGGTTCGGTAACGAACAATGTTGTAAGTAAGTTGTAACCAGTATAATCTAAATGTTTACCAACCTGCTGAAGAGGTTTGATGAGGGCTTTGCCCTTGTAGCTAACATGAAATTTAGTCTTAGCCAACAGTCCCTGCAGCCAGGACAAAGAGAGTTGTAATACTACTAACAGTGAAGGCCTGCAAATTCAACACTGAAAATAGTCACCTCGGTGTCGAATTCTCCCGATTCAACTGCAACGTTTATGTCCGTGATGATCTTCACAAGATCCACCAGTAATCCCGGTCGATCAGCAGTCTCCACATACAGTAAGCTGTAAAGGGTCAAGGGAAAACTTTGAAAAATTGCACTCTATCAAGTTTATGCAAAACTGTACCTCACACTATTGAGGACATATTCTATTTATATTGGCAAAAGATTAACTAATAGATCCGATTTCATAGGAAACTAACGAAGTAAGCCTATTCTTATGGCATGACCAACTTCAAGCTATTCTAATGGATTGATCAATTCTAACAGTCCCCTTCAATCCCAACAAGTCTTGTACATGTTGAGATTGTTACAATGTGTAGTAAAAGGAGTTTTAGACAGTGGTTTTGTCAGGATATCAGCTACTTGATCACTTGATGAAATGAACCGAACTTCCATTGCTTTACGTGCTACTTGTTCTCGAACAAAATGAAAATCAACTTCAATATGTTTCGTTCTAGCATGAAATACTGGATTTGAAGTTAAATATGTAGCTCCGAGGTTGTCACACCAGAGGCGAGGAGCCTTTGATTGATACACGCCCAGTTCCTTCAGTAATGACTTGATCCAAATCATTTCTGCAGTAAGATTCGCAATGGCCTTGTATTCTGCTTCGGTGCTTGATCTTGACACTGTAGCCTGTTTTCTGGAACTCCATGAGATTAGATTTGCTCCAAGAAATACAGCAAAGCCGCTAGTTGAACGTCGATCATCGGGACAACCAGCCCAATCAGCATCAGAAAACCCCGACAACATCATGGTTGATTTCTGAATTTTCACTCCTAATGCTAGTGTGCCTTTAACATAACGAAGAATTCTCTTCACAGCACCCCAATGAGCATCAGTAGGTGTATGAAGATATTGACACACTTTATTGACAGCAAATGCCAAATCAGGCCTAGTCATTGTCAAATATTGTAGTGCTCCCACTGTACTTCTGTATTTGAATTGTTCTTCAGCTGATAAGGGTATTCCTTGTTCTCTGAATAATTTTTCAGCAGAACCCATTGGTGTAGACATAGGTTTGCATTTTTCCATGTTTACTCTTTTCAACAAATCTAAAGCATATCGTCTCTGTGACAGTATGATACCATCTCGTGTTTTCTTGACTTCAATACCCAGAAAATACTCAAGATCACCCAAATCTTTTACTGCAAAATCTATTTTCAATTTCTGAATCAACCTTTCGGTTGCTTGATCAGAGGAGCTCACAATAATTATATCATCAACATAGATGAGCATATAGATAGTTATCTCTCTGTTTTTGAGAATAAAAAGAGATGAATCAGCTACTGAAGCCTTGAAGCCTAACTCAATAAGCTTTCCAGTCAACCTTGAATGCCAAGCTTTTGGGGCTTGTTTCAGGCCATAAAGGGCTTTCTTGAGCTTGCATATGTAATTCTTTGGNGGGTAGACCACAGTAGATAATTTTCTTGTGTAAGCTTAACACTAATCACCTGACTGATCGACGGAGAGGACATTGTGTTGATTGGGATTGACATGTTTAACAGCAGAGGCTATGGATCTCGTGGATCTTATTTGAGCTCTGATACCATATCAAGTTTATGCAAAACTGTACCTCACACTATTGAGGACATATTCTATTTATATTGGCAAAAGATTAACTAATAGATCCGATTTCATAGGAAACTAACGAAGTAAGCCTATTCTTATGGCATGACCAACTTCAAGCTATTCTAATGGATTGATCAATTCTAACACACTCTCCCTTCACATATACAGGATTGACAAGAGTTTGCAAGTCAAGTTTCGAAAATTATTGCCATTGTGTCAATGATTTTCTGCAGGACACAGACGAGCATTACCTTCGGTCAGGACCGTCATCTTGTATGCTTATGTGTGTAGCAATGTCCACATCGACCTAAGAAATTACATGTCATAAATCAAGCAAGGGAGCAAACATCGTTCCAATGGCAATGACTCCGAAACACGAGAAACATAAAAGCTAGGAAAGGATGAATATAAAATGTTCAAATGAATAGCTGGATTGAGTGAAATGACGGGTATCGAGAAGTAAAACAAGAAAGCACACTTATTTCTCACACAAAAGAGACTTAACAGCCCAAGCCCACTGCTACCAAATATTGTCTTTTTTGGGCTTTCCCTTGCCCTCAATGTTTTTAAAACGCGTATGCTAGGGAGAGGTTTCCACACCCTTATAAAGAATGGTTCGTTCTCCTCCTCAACCGATGTTCATTCACATGAGATCCCACATGGATTGGGAAGGAGAACGAACTAGTTTTTATAAGGGTGTGGAAACCTCTCCCTAGCAGACGCATTTTACACCTTGAAGGTTAGCCTGAAAGGGAAAGTCCAAAGACGACAATATCTGCTAGCGGTGAGCTTGGCCGTTACAAGGACAAGGTTCTGCAGGTTTCTACACACCATCCTATGGATTTGCGAACCGGGAAAAGCCAACATTTGAGCCTATTGTAACCTTGTTAGCCAGCTAAAAAGAGAAATTATGCAAAAAGAGAGCAGAGGAGGGAAAATGATGTCTAGTTTTATACCCCACAAAAAGAAACATAGCAACAATATCATGCCATAGCAGATATGATATGAAGAAAAAGCTCCACAGTATATGAATCAAAAAGCACCACAGCCAGTCTTGAAATGGAAAGTTGTTTAAGACCTGTTGTTGCGGTGGCATGACTCCGAACGCTGCTCCCATTGCTAACTGAGCACTTGATTCCTGAACAACCATTTCAAATTTAGGAACTTAAAAAATTGTTAGAAGATCCACCCAGAATGAATCTTGATAAGATCATACCGGATGAAACTCAAGCAAGTTGTTTATAATCGTCAAACGAATCGCCTCAAGCAACTCTGGATCATCTACCTTTCTTCCGGTGTCTCTGCATATTAGCACAACAATCAAAAATCAAAATCCGACCGATTTTTAAGTCCAAATTTAACTGAAGGTATTAATGTTTGTGTTGGTAAGGTCCACATAACCAAAGGGTTGTCCAAATCAGTTCACTAGTATTGTCGTATCACTTTATATACCACAAAAAATGTTCGTGGGAATTTATTGATCTTTTGAGGCATTGCTGCAATGTCATGGGACTGCCAAATTTACTAACCAAGTATCATAGCCAGGTGTGTTGTAAGAATTGACATTTGATGAAATAGTTCATATCTTTCTAATAGTAATTATAAACAACCTACCGCTCGGTAACGAAAAAGACAGCAACGGAGTGTCTAAAAGTAACAACCTGATACTTCAAGTTCAGCATAGTAACTACAAATAAGAACAATTACCCACTTTTTTTAACTAACAAACAAGTAACCCAATACTTACGCTTTTGTGATCGAAAATCTGTTGTGCTTTCCAGAAGAATCCAAAAAGACATTCGCCTTGACGACATTGAGCCCCAGGTTTTTCAGAGCATTCATCTGCATCCAATGCATTTCTAACGATGATTATAGGAAATGACAACGGACAAGACAACCCAAAAATCTCCCAAAATGGAGTGTTAAAGATGACTTCGTAAATACGAAAACATAGCATTGTACCGTGTCAAGAAGTGCTCCAAGCCGATCGCCGAAGGTTATTTCCACAACAGTTGCATCTTGATCAGAGTCCTGGTCTATTATAACTATGGGCGTTGGAATTGTATCAGTATCACCGTTACTTCCATCCTGTTGTGCAACCACTCCCAAGAGAGGGAGAGGTCCAACAAAAATTAAGAACAAACATCCAACAATTGCAAATCATATGTATCGATACCTTCAGTACCTCAACAGCTGTAGCTGATGATGCTCGTGGAATGCTCTTCATGTTGGAAGAAGACCATCTGTGATGGATCAGCAGTAAACTTATAAACATATCTTCACAAAAACTAAAATGATTTTCATTCTTAAAGGAAACATCGGAATTCTTAGCCAAATTTTAAAAACAAAAACATGTTCTTAAAACTAATTCACATGGTGGACTTCCTAAATCCAATTAATCTCCGAGCTGAGAGAGGAGTATTCAAAATATACACATAATTCATCTGCTTAAGCTTAAAATCTAGTGGTGATTTGACATCAACAACTTCTTAATTAACAGAGAATCACTTGGTCTTGTTCAATTATACAAACTACTAACCTGATAAAACAGAGAAAAGTTTAGAAACCTAAGATTGTTACATATCACGAACGAGAGATTCAAACATGAATTAATAGCCCAAATGATCTTCAGCTTGAAATAGTAATAAATCTAAACAGAAATCTCAATAATGTCCAATCCAAATTGGACCAATATGATAAAATTAAGCAGAAAAACACACCGAATCCATCAATTGAAACTCATACCTTCCCCTTTGGATTAGGCAGAAACACTTGTTCTGATAAGCAAGGGAGCTCTTGAACAAACCCCCAGTCGCAAAACGACTTTCAGAAGATTTGAAGGTCCAAGAACTGCAACTGGAGTGAAGCCCAGAGCACCAAGAAGCCATAGCCACAGCCACAGTCATGGCGGGAAGGTTGAGAAGAGGAGCGAAAAACGCAAACCCAGAAGCAAAAATCGGAAGCAATGGGAGCTAAAAGAGAAGCTAGAGAGAAGAGAGTAAGATCAAAGAAGGGAAATCAGAGAACATTCTGAGTTCAGAGAAGGATTCAGAAGGAGAGAAATGGGCAGTGAGGAAGAAGAATACGACCCATCTGGACCAGAGTGATCTCGAAATATCCGCCATTGGAGATGGATGGGTAGATTCCTCATGACAATTTATCTTCTTTTTCGTTCACTCTTTTTTCTTTTTCTTTTTTTTTTTTTCCGGAAATTTGTTTGACGTTTCATGATTCGTCGTAAATAATTGCAATGATTAATATATATATTAAAATACTTCTCCACAGTATTTTTACTTTCAAATATCAAATATTAATCCGAAAATTGGACCCCATTTATTTTAATGAATGTTTAACCTAAAGTATTCTTCGAGCATATTCCTCCTAACTTAGTGCTACGTGACGAATTTCATTAAAAGGAATTCCGTAAAGAAAAGCATGTAATTTTAGTAATTAAAAGGTTTATTGAAATGAATTAAATAATATTAATAATTTTCATACAAATATTTATTTTTTAACAAAAGAACTAACATGCTATTTTAATAATTAATTTTGGTCTATGTAGGTTGACAAATCTAAAAATTAATTCTTTAAGGTAAATTTTAAGATTAGTTTTTGAAATTTTTAAAAAAGATTGGAAATATAATCGAATAAATTTATTAAAAGTACAATATTTTGATTATATAGGAGGAAAATCGTATTTTATAATTATTATTTTATTTTATTTTATTCTGTTGTTTTTTAAATTTGATACTGAGAAATCCAGTTGGAATTGGGACCAGTTCATCGCTAGAACCTTCAAGTTATAGCGACGCGTTTGGTTGATAAAATTCGAATTTCTCATCTTTTTCTCCAATTATCTTTTTTCTTTTTCAGGATTATTATCTTTTTCCCGTTCTCTCCCTCTCTCTGAAAAAGACAGATTGGTGTGGGCTTCACCCAAATTTTATGAGTGGGCCTTTTGTTTGTTACTGTAGTAACTTGGGCTCGGCCCACATTCATTAATTTTACGATTGGGCCTTTTGTTTGTTACTGTAGTAACTTGGGCTAGGCCCACATATTTAACTTGGGCTCGGCCTACATAAGTCATTAATTTTTACGATTGGGCCTTTTGTTTGTTACTGTAGTAACTTGGGCTAGGCCCACATATTTAACTTGGGCTCGGCCCACATAGTCGTTAATTTTTACGATTGGGCCTTTTGTTTGTTACTGTAGTAACTTGGGCTCGGCCCACATAGCCATTAATTTTTACGATTGGGCCTTTTGTTTGTTACTGTAGTAGCTTGGGCTCGGCCCACAGTCATTAATTTTTACGATTGGGCCTTTTGTTTGTTACTGTAGTAACTTGGGCTCGGCCCACATAGCCATTAATTTTTACGATTGGGCCTTTTGTTTGTTACTGTAGTAGCTTGGGCTCGGCCCACAGTCATTAATTTTTACGATTGGGCCTTTTGTTTGTTACTGTAGTAACTTGGGCTAGGCCCACATATTTAACTTGGACTCGGCCCACATAGCCATTAATTTTTACGATTGGGCCTTTTGTTTGTTACTGTAGTAGCTTGGGCTCGGCCCACAGTCATTAATTTTTACGATTGGGCCTTTTGTTTGTTACTGTAGTAACTTGGGCTAGGCCCACATATTTAACTTGGACTCGGCCCACATAGCCATTAATTTTTACGATTGGGCCTTTTGTTTGTTACTGTAGTAGCTTGGGCTCGGCCCACAGTCATTAATTTTTACGATTGGGCCTTTTGTTTGTTACTGTAGTAACTTGGGCTCGGCCCACATATTCATTAATTTTTGCCATTGGGCCTTTTGTTTGTTACTGTAGTAACTTGGGCTAGGCCCACATTCATTAATTTTTATGATTGGGCCTTTTGTTTGATACTGTAGTAACTTGGGCTCGGTCCACATATTCATTAATTTTTACGATTGGGCCTTTTGTTTGTTAGTAATAACTTGGGCTCGGCCCATATTTTCATTAAATAATTCATTAATTTTACGATTGGGCCTTTTGTTTGTTACTGTATTACCTTGGGCTTGGCCCACAGTCATTCATCTATTCATTAATTAGCTAGAACTCTTGCTCAACTACTTTTTGAAATTAGAATTAATCAGAATTAATAATTTTAATTTAGAATGAAAAATATTTATTCATATTTTCCATGACTAAATTTCATATTAATTTTGCTTTAAGCAATGCAGAAATCCAGCAGTAAACTCCAAGAATTTGGAAATTAATATCTTCCATTGTTGGCAACCTCAAAAACCTTACAATTCAAGCATATTTATATGTTTCATCCTAAATTCTCAGCTCGAACTCATGAACTCAAAATGAACAAACCATCATCTTCCTTAATTTTCCTTCTGCTTGTGTTCTTTTCTTGTCTTGGAATCGCAGTTGCTGATTCTCATAATGTCTTTGATTCTTGTCCAACAGCCACTGATAGAATTGACTTCGTCAATGGCTTCCCTTGCAAGAACCCCACCGTTGTTAGGACGGACGACTTCACCTCAGCAAAGTTAACGGGACCGGTCAATACCGACGATCGGTTCAGCTCGTTGGTGAAGGTCGTCACGGCCGCAGATTTCCCTGGCTTGAATTCTCTCGGGCTATCTATCTCTAGAACTGATTTGGGCACGGATGCCATCGTTTCTCCTCACTCGCATCCGAGAGCCACGGAGATGTTCTTTGTGAATCAAGGTATGTATTGGGTTGAGAGGTGATTTAACATGGTATTAGAGTAAGGAGTTGTGTGTTTGTCTTCCTTGCAGGCATCGTTCTAGCTGGATTCATCGACACCAAAAACCGACTCTTTCAGGAGTTTTTAAAACCCGGCGACGTAATCGTATTTCCAAAGGGGTTGTTGCACTTCTGTCTCAATTCTGGTTATGAGACTGCCACCATTTTCTCTGTGTATAACAGTCAGAACCCAGGAGTTGTGAACGTCAATGGTGCCATGTTTGAGCCGGCTGATTCAAGTCATTTCATAGACATGTTCCTCGACAAATTAAAAGCTCTTTCTTCACTACCAAATCTCAAATTCAACCCAAATGTAACTCTACCCAGATACATAAGCTTGTAAAATTATAGATTCGTCTTGAAAAGAAACTGCACAAGTTTACACGAGACACGATGCAAATCATTCTCCAAATAATCACAAAAGAATCATGAACAAATGAAAACATCACAAGTCTAATAATTTAAATCTATAACCCCACGACTCGTATATACACTCACTCAATCATGTAGCTCATGTTATTTTTTTAACACTAATAAATTTGAAGTTTGGGATCTAATGTAATGTATTAATACGAAATTTTACATTTTAGTATATGAAGAGAGATATACACGATCCAATTTATATGCTACGAGATACAACATCGAGATACAACATCGAACCAAAACATCTTCCATCGAATAAGATATAGATACCACCTCGAGACTTAAAATAATAAGAACTATTATATCTTTTGAACAGTATTACACATGCCGGTGTTTCGAGCACACCAAAGAGGTTGAATTGGTTCGGCTCCGATGCCTCTCTTCACCATTCTATTTCTCCATTCATTCAAACGGTCTGTTGCCTCGGCGTACCTCTTCTTACCGCTTTCGTCTCGGTTTCCAGACCAAAGTGACTCCGCCATTGCTGAAGTTCGAGGCCATAGCCGAGCATCCAGCACCGTTGGGTCGGCTTGTTCAGACCACAGTGCCACTTCCCCGCCCAACACCAATTTAGCTTCCTCTTCACTCAGTTTATAAGTTATGTCGTAGTTATATATAGTTTGCCATGTTTTGAAAGGTCCACACCAGGACCCTCCATCTTTATACTCACCATTTGCTTGTTCATCATACTGACTATTGTTTCCAAGAAAGTCACCATGGCCACAGTCCAAATAATAGTATTCCGACGACGACACGATCGCTCGATACCCCGAAGAAACAATTCTTTTAGTATTGTTAACACCATTGTTCCAAGTCTGCAAGATGATGTTCTCACGAGGGAGAAACTCCGGTCGAACGCTGACTATGTCGTCGAGCAATACGTCTTCCCAATAGACGACGGTTCGGTTAAGGGAGTGAATGAAAGGGAAGGTGGTGTTGACAAAGATCTCAAGAACTTGGCTGAGAGTTCCACCATTTGATAAGAAGGATTTGATCAATGGATCAGCCTTCCAACATCCTGGGACAATCTCATCCACGCCCGAGTGGTAAAACGATTCGGGGAAAAGATCAACGACGTCCCGAACGACGTTTTTTAGGACTTCATACGTCTTGGGGTTCAAGGGATTCAAATGGCCAGTCCCTGGCTCTGAAGCCAGCCGGTCTTCCCATTTGTACCCTGCAGGTAACCAGAACATATTTGCACATGACACTATCTCAGGGTAAGCCAGAGCCCATGAGCCAGTATGTCCTGCAAATTACACCACAATTTTCTACATTATCATCGCAGATTCATTCATCATCATCATATTATCATCACCATCCAGCTGACTTCAACACTCTAAACCAGTTTCCCGAGAATTTATGATACATTCAACCCAATTTTATACATAATAAAACAGGGGAAGTAAGGGATTTTCAACCATATATACAGATCCAGACAAGTAATGATCATATAATCAACAACCCAATTGGCCGATTCAGATTAAAAGATCAAAATTAAGAGAGTTTTAACTCACCAGGGGAGTCGATTTCCGGCATGACTCGAACTCCGTGTTCCATTCCGAACTTGACAATTCGTCGAACATCTTCAGGGGAGTATTTCATATCATCTCTATAAGCCCCTTTAGCACCAAGCTCCGGCTCCAATGGCAGTACAAGAGGGAAAGAATGTGAGTCGGTTATATGCCAATGGAAAACATTAAGCTTATTCATACCCATCGCCTCAATCGTCCGTAAAATATGCTCCACTCCATAGTAATTCCTCGACGTATCGAGAATCAACCCTCTGTGTTGAAACAATGGCGCATCCCAAATCGAAACCCCCACCGGGACTCGAAGTGGGTCGCCCCAAACAAGCTGAGAGAACGTCTCGAGGCCTCTCATGGCGCCCCAGACCGTAGACGAGACCAAATTGGCGGAGCCGGTGAGGGAAATGTGGAGAGAATATGATTCGTTGACGCCATTCTGGAGTGGGGCAGAGAGATCGGCGACGGAGACGGTGAGTTTCTGCAAGGGAGAGGCAGAGGAGGAGATGTTGACTGAAGGGTCAACGAGGGGGCGGTGTTTCTCAGTGAGAATGCGGCGGAGGTGACGATCGACGGCGGAGGAGAAGTAGTGGTGGCGAGGGGAAATGATGGTGAAATTGGGGGAAAGAAGAGCGGCTTGGGGATCGGGCCAATTGAAGACTCTTGGTTTTGGCCAGACATTAATGGCGGATTGAAGCGATGAAATTGGGGAAATTAAGAAGAAGACGAGAAGGAGGAATGTGGAAAAAATGTCTGTCCTCCATTGAAGAGCCATGATTTTGCTGCAACTGCACCAGACAGCCAAGGCTGTGGTACTTTATACTGTTGTGGTTGGGCTAGAAGGATAAGGAAGACGATTTTATTTATTGTTTGTCGTGAAAATAATTATTTTAACCTAAAAAAGCTTTCGTTAATTATTCTTAATATAACTTTATAATAAACGAATTTTAAAAATATATTTAATAGGCAACTAAACTTACCAAAAACAGTTTTAAAACTATATTTAATAAACTTACAATTTTGTTGTAAATAGGTGCTTTTAGTTTTAATTTTGATAAGTTTAAGGAACCCGTTGTTTTAAAGTATGATAACGTTGATAGGTCAACTGCTCGTGACTTCGAGCAAAGTCTATCCCTTCAACCGAACACGGGTTCTTTCCACATAATTTTTGCTATTTTTTTTGAGTTTTTATGATTGAGCTACTGAAAATGAAAATGCAATTTTATTCAGATGTGGTCTTGGTTTATTAAAATAAATTAACATATTAAAAAAAAGAAATTGTGAGCGATTGAGTTTGTAATTAAAATAATGTAGGAAGAATATGGTAAGATGTGATTGTCTTATTATTATGTCTCATTGTAGACATTCATAAGTTAAATAAAATTTGAATGTTGGGTCTTCTTAAACTACATTTGGCTTTGCCCTTTTTTATTTTATTTTTTAGTTAAATTATTGCAGGCCTTCTACTAATTCAAGACTGTGCTACTTCATATTTGGAGTTATGTATTTAACATTTAATAATTTCATTTCATTGTTTAATGTTTAATGCATCCAATTTTTTGGATTGGTCCAAAGAAAATGGGCCTTAATATTTTAAGCCCATAACTTAAATCAAATATGGGCCTTAATATTTTAAGCCCAGGCCCACCTTCAAATTGGCTGAAACAAATGGATAATGTGTGTATATATATATATTATAAATAAATAACGCATGTGGAAGGTATGGCATGGAAAAGTATAAAATATTAAATGGTCTACATTTTTATAAACATTGACCATAAATTTAACATTTTTCATTATAAAAATTTATATAATGAGTTGTTAGTTCGTGGTTGGTTAGATTTTGACTTTTTTATTTTTATTTTCTTCCCTTATTTTTATTTTTAAAATTATACTGTTCTAAAATATAAGTACAATTAAAATTAAATAAACTTGATTTGTGACCCATAATTGAAACCATGAGTTTAAATTGCATAATAATAATAATACATAAATAAATAAACATAAAAAAATCAATACATACAATAATATGATTCTTAATCTAATCTAATCAGACATTAATGATAATATTAATGATAATGATGGATGAATTATAACATTAATTCTGATTAAGAAGAACATATAAAAACAATAAAACAAGAGGATTTATTAAAAAAAGAATAGCCGAACTTGATGTAAAAGAGAAGTCAAAGGTTTCTCCAAAGCATTGTATTAAGGTTCACACACAATTGGGTCTATATAATTTGATCTTCTTCATCTCTCTTGTCTTCACACACAGGTTTGAGGCTTAGAACATCTTTGAAGCTTAGAACATCAATGGGGAATAGCAAATCCAAGAACCAAAGCCACCCTTTGCCCATTGACACCACCTTCAAGTTTCCTTCTCCACTTCCAACTTTTCCACCAGGTTTCCATCTAATTTTCTTTTTAATTTTTTTTTTTTTTTTTTTTTTTTTTATGTTGGGCTCGGAATACCTCTAGTTATGATTCTCGTTGTCATATCGTCTTCCTTTGGTTAGATGAATGATACAAGAGAAAAATAGGTTCTCGAGAGAGAATTATTGTATATCAATTAGATATTCATCTAAACGAACGGTATGCACGAATCAAATACAGCTACGAGAATGAAAATTGAAAAATATTTTCTCTTAGCTGTCAACAATTTAGTAGTGGCGTGTTTTTTTTTTTTTTTTTTTTTTTTTTTTTTTTTTTTTTTTTTTTTTTNTTTTTTTGACTTTTTAGGAGATGGAAAAGGTTATAACCTACACTCTAAAAGGATAGTTGGAAAGAAAATTGGAGTTAATACAAATTAATTAAATGCTTTGAAAAAGGATATAAAAATAAAAATAATGACATTTTTTTAATTAAAATATAAATAATTGTTTTACGTAATTATATTTTTCTCCTTTAAAACGTTTCAACTTTGAAGATTTCAATATAATGATAATTTAGACGTTATAATATCATATAAAACGTTGTTAACATTTAAACCAAGATTAATTAAATATAAAATTGAAAAAAATAAGAGATTTTATTTTTTGTTTTTTAAGTTTATGAACCAATTGGATAAAAAAAAAAAAAGAAATTAACTCTTCCACTTACCGTTGATTGTGCAGGGAAAAGTGGCTTCGCCGAAGGCGTCATCGACCTCGGCGGCGGACTAAAAATCCACCGGATTTCATCCTTCAACAAAATCTGGACAACCCACGACGGTGGTCCAAACAACCTCGGCGCCACATTCTTCGAACCCTCTCCTCTTCCCCAAGGCTGTTTCTCTCTCGGCCATTACTGTCATCCCAACAACAAGCCCTTCTTCGCCTGGACTCTCGCCGGAAAAGATGATTCTCCTGACGGCGCCGTCCTCAAAAAGCCCCTCGACTTTGTCCTCGTCTGGTCAAGCAGGAACTCCAACATCAAACGTGACACCGATGGCTACAT